CTCTGATCCTCAGAATAAATCCTACATGCCATAAGATGGTAGCCATGCCTGTGTGAAGCCGGATGCTGCCTGCCCTCAGGCCGAGTTACCACCACTACTCTTTACACTATTGTCCCAGCCAGAACCATGACACCAGCGGCCCCAGGCCACAGGGAATTTGCCTCTGCAGATTAACAGTAGGCACTCAATGTATGTTTTTTGAAGAAAATAAAAGCTGGCATAAATGACAAAACAAAAAACAAAACAAAACAAAAAAACACAGATAGACTGCCTGTAAGCTAAAATATGTACAGCCCATCAATGTCTGAATTGAAGATGACAATGAATGACTTAAGGCTTTGCCCAGCATTGGACTTTTATGGTAAAAAAATGTTGATCTATTCCACAAGCATCTCTGACCTTTCTAAATATGCATCTAAGTGGAATTAAACAAAAGAACATTCCTGGGGCTCCCACTCTCTTGACTCTAAGTAAATGAACAGGAAATACATAGCACATGTAATAGGATACTATTTTGAAAGACCAATTTATTTTTTTGCCTGGTATTTCCTTTCCTCATGGGTCTTTCCCACATTCAGGCAGTTAGGTTCTACTTGAGTTTGACTTTTGAGTTTCAAAATCTGATTCTTTGGAAAACAGAAGGACTTTGGCCTAGACAAATGAAGATGAAAACATGTAAGTCTTCATCATCCAGATAAGAGATTGCTGGTTTGAGGAAAGAAGTCAGAGGGAAAGTGAGGAGGGGTCGACGTTAAGGAGTACCGAGCAAAGGGGCACCTCATTTGTGGGCCGAGGCTGGGAAATAGGGATTAAAGGGCAAACAGGACCTGCGCCCCTCTGCTCAAGTAGAGCTGGGAAGGTGGCAGGCTTCAGAGCAGACTGGCTGTGTGGTGTGCCCAACAGGTAGGGATTCGTAGCCCAGCAGGGCAGTGGTTTCCATCCTGCTCTGTGTGGGGGAAGCAGATGACATTGTGATATATGGGCAAGCAGATGACATCACGAACTTATAAAGAGACTGTCTCCCTGCGCCCTGGAGATCAAGTATGAAACCCCAGGGAGACTGAAGAGGCACAGGATTTGACTTGAGATTAAGCTTTAGCCCTCTTGATACAATGAAGTTCAAAATAAAAACTAAGTTATTCGACAAACGGAAACCCAGTTCTTCTGACACTGAACCCAGGGCCCATCCTATGCCCTACGCAGCCTTCCTTCAGCCAGGCCAATCTCCTCCCTGATACGTGAACTCTTGACCAATGTTCCCAGACCCAGAAGAGAGTTGGGTTCTGACTGGCTCTGCTTTTCAGTTGGGTGAGTGGTTTATGAAGTACAGGCATCAGGGAGGGACAAATTGAAAAGAGAAAGAAAGCATCAGGAAGACAGAAGGCACAGGTGTTTCTGGCCTGTGTTACCTGGGAAAGGAAGCTGGCACGGTTGACCTGGAGCAGAGGCAGGACTCTGTATTCCTAGGGTCCATGCTGTTGATGTATAAAGGTCCCCTCCTTCTAACTCCCCTCACTCTATTAACACCAACACCCTCTGTGCACGTGCTCACACTCATAGCCCAGTAGAGAATACCAGATGGAGAGTGGGTGCTATCTTCCCTCACTTGGCTTCTTCCGTCCCCACCCCACGCCCCACCTCTTCCATCCCAGGCAGAAACTCCCATCTGATTATGAAATCTGTGATGCAGATTCTGAGACTGGGCAGACAACAAGCTGCAGAGGTGGTACGACTTAGATTGCTAAATTGAGCTCCATAATAAACGAGGTGGGGATTAGAGAAGAAAAGATTTGGAAGCGGGTAGGGGGAATACTGAAAAAATGAAGCTAGGAACAATGTTTTTTTTTTCGTGGAGAGTTTGAGGACAAAAGGCCTTGGAGGTGGGCAGGGTGCAGGAAAATTAAGATGGCAGTGAAAAGAGATTCAGGAAGTGTTACCAGGAGGTGTGAATTTAATCTTCCTGAATGTTTTTTGAGAGATACCAATTAAAGATTGAACCTTTTTATTATTCTTGGCTGTTTGGACTATGCTTCTTTGAAAAGCACTCCACACAGACTGGATCATAAGGGAGGAAAGTTACAAGGGCTAAACTAGCTCTGATAGTGTCTTGGTGGAACATTATTGAATGAAGGCAAGAAAATCTGTCCCTCATCTCTCTCCAGCTCCCTGTCCATCCAGCTGGTTCTCGCTTCTTTCCTAGCTCCAAGGAACTAGGGCAGTGATGTGGCTTTAGGAGTCTCATCCAGCCCCAGACCCTAAGACCAGTGTTTCCTCCGCTGTCTCCTGAGACACAGACAACACAACCCTCTATCACCCTGACAACGAGGCAGAGGGGGCTGCTGCTTACATTTCTATGATGCTGGGAAGAGCAGATATTGGCAATGGAGGGTAGAGAACCAGACAAAAGGAGAAGCAGGCTGCCGAAGTCATTCTTCCTCTCTAGGACCCTTTGGTACCCGTGGAAGATAAGACTCTGGAGCTAAGCAAAGTCAAAGCCAACGATGCCAAGGAAAGCCCAAATGGAGTGGGCTCTTGCCAAAATACCAGCCTCTAGCGTACCTTCTGTGTGAATGTCCACAGTGAACATGCACTTGTGCTTCAAGTCCATACAAGTGAGACAAAGGATGCTTCACCCTGAGAACATGTGTTCACTGCAAACTTCAGCTACGAAGGGAACAGCTGTGTCTCAGTGCCGCACGAGGACCTCAGCTGTCCTGTGCCTGGGCAGTGCAGCACTCTGGACCCTGTTTCAGAGTCAAGTAGGAGCCACCCAGAGATGTAAGCAGGGTATCCTGGGGAGAAATGAGCCTCCTATTGCTGGAAGCAGAGGCTGGACAGTCACTTGGCAGGCATTTGCACCTTATATCGGGGGACCTCTGGGTCCCTGCCAGATGCTGCTCCATTTCTAATCTCGGTCTATTAGATTCAAAGAAAAGATGGCCAATTCAATCCATAAGCTGATCTGTAACGCAATGGTCTTTCAGAGAATCCCATGACCCCTACCGAAACCATGATATATTTTTTTGTAAACTAACCCTAGTTCTCAGATCTATTGGGCTTTTTAAATAAATACCAAGTATTTTGCTCATGCTGTGCCTTCTGCATAGAACAATTTGGTCCACTTTCTCCACCTGGCCAACTCCTACTCATACTTTAAAACCCCAGCACCACGAAGCCTAGGAACTTAGCTTTCTCTTCCTTTTGACTTCATCGGCTCTCTGATTGTACCCTAGGGGTTTTTGTGTCCCTTTGGGGGATGCTGCCCTCTAGCTAGACTGGATGTCCTCAGATTGCTACCAAGGCTTCCATCTCCCGCAACGCAGCCTCCCCAGGAAATAACTGGGACACTCAGTTGGGATCATGATGTAGCACCAGGTCCAGGTCGCCTAACTTGCTATCCCTTCCACCATGCCCTTTGATGAACTTTCCCAGTCTGGGGAGTGCTTTAAACCCAGCCCTTCTCCCACGCATTGCTCTCCTCCAAAGTGACAAGTTCTCTAAAGAAGAGGCTGGATTTAACCCCGTGTGATGCAAAGAGTACCAGAGAAGGAGCCAGGACACTTAGGTTCCAGCTTCAGCTCAGTCTCTGTGTGACTACCCCACTCTGGGACTCAGTTTCCCCATCTGTGCAAAGGGGACATGAGGCAATGCAGGAAGATCCTATGTTTCTGACCTACTCCATCTTGGCAAATTTGTCTAATGAAAAGGCCATGAATAACTTGGCTCTATTCACTTGAACATGGGGAATAACTCTGAAGGTTCCCAGAGCAGGGTGTCAGCCACCATCAGTTCTCAACTGTTTATCCAAGGCACTGACTCGAAGCTCTCAGACTGTACCAATCTCGGGATGAGAAGTAAAACTGTATAAATCACAGATGACTTCCTGGTGCCAGCTAAGGCAGGATTGGTGATCATTCTTAAAGCCTGAACAGCATTTTGCCTCATTGGAAAGCCTTTCAGAAATCCTTCTGACCCACCACACCCTCCTCCAGCAAGCCAGTCCTTGGTGACTCCCACTTCTGGCTTCTCCCTGTCTGTCTAGTACATGGTCCCCCTGTTGATCTGGGCCCTTTATCAACCTGGTTCCCCTCCAGCCTCTCGCTGCCCTATCCACTCCCAGGGCCCCGCCGCGGCCTGGCTCACAGTAAGCTCTCAGGAGATGGTTTTTGACTTGGCTCACATTTTGACTCATATTCCAAATTTGTGAGCCATGATTAATGCTCAAGTATACTCAGGTATTAGGCTGTGAGCTGAGCCAAAGATACATCCAAGTTTGCCTGTGTCCTCTAATAATATTAATAATAGCTGACACATGTTTATGGTGCTGTATATTCTTGAAGGGCTCCTCTCTTCCTCCCCCTCTATCCTTAGAACACTCTTAGGCAGACAGGGCAAACAATGACATCCTTATTTAATTGATGAGGCAGTGACTCTCCAATGACAAGGTTCTTAAGGAGGGGACAGAGATTGGAGCCAGGGCTGGCCTGTATGACTGACTCCTGGTTCAGTGCTTCCTCCCCTGCAAGGGTGTCTCCCCTGCAGGAGTCCCACAGGGCCACCCTCCCTAAGGGGAGATCTGTATGCAGAGAATGGAGGATGACGGAGGGGGAGGGCACGAGGGGCCTGGAAAGCTGGGGTGAGGACTTGAGCAGGTGCTTCAGACCAGCGCATGTTGCTGGAAGCGACAAGTGATGCCCCATGGGCAGGCATGCGGGGCGCAGCCCAGGAAGCCAGAAGCTGAGATCCAAACACCAAGGAGCCTTGCAATGCTTGAGGAGCAGCCGACAGGTTGGGGTGGGGCCCTGCAGCCAGTTTCAGAGACAAGGGAGCACACTCTCCCTAGAGGGCTCTGGGAGGGACCCCTGGTGCCTGAACCCTCAAAGACAGCAGATCCTTAAGCCTCCAGGTTGAGACCAGGACCAGAGGAAAAGTCTTCCCAACAGCAATGCCCACCTCTGTCCATCTGTCCCACTGCCAAGTTGTTTCTATGGACTGTGGCTTTTGTGGTTTTAGCAAAAAGGGAAGTTTACCAGAGGAGTGGCTTCTGTGAAATCCATCAGGAGATCGCCCGGCTCCAAGGTAAAGGCACCTCCTCGGTCAGAGGGACTCTAGGAAAGCAGACAAAAAATATCCCAGTTAGTGACGACTCAGAGGAATTTTACCAGGAACCACAGAGGTTCCCTACCTCTCTTCTCCCCGCTTTCTAACACTGAACTCATAATCATGCCGGTCCCCTCCACAGTTCAACAAAACGTTGCAAACAAACCCCCTATTTTTTCTGAAACCTTAATGGGTGTAGGGTGGAGAACTGCTTTTTTTATTTGGAAGCTGTAAGCAATTTTTCTTAAATGCTTTGAGTGCTCTTTGACTGCTCTTTTGTGGGAAAAACACTTCCAAGAGTCCTTTGACTATACAAAGAGAAGGCGAAGACCCCGCCCTGAATTAAGAGGCTCAAGGCCTCAAGTTGCTGAACTCATTTGCACAATAATGAAGAAGATCTTTAAGGTGAGAGAGGGGTACCTTTGACAGTCATGTTCCTTTTGGGGGAAAATGTGTTTTTCTCTCGTCCTGGCATCTCAGCAGCATGGGGGACCTTGAGGTCCTTTGTCGGGGGGAAAAAAATAAGCCCCATCAACTAGGCAAAAGCAGAGCCTTCAGGAGAGAAACTGCCAGGAGAGGGAGCCCTGTGGCCTCTGACGGGATGTCACCTGCATCACCACTGCACTCCCTTCCGCTTTATAAATATTTTCACTTGGATCCGACCATGGCGTGGAATACATGATAGGAGGCTGTGCCCCTACTTGGGACAAAGCACAACAGAGGGCAACCCGACTCGAGATTCCAGGAGGTGATCTACAGAAAAGCAGGAGCTTTAGTTTGGGCCAGTCACTGGCTGAGGGGGCCAGCCAGGTTCCTTCCTGGTGAGGAACACGGCAGTCTTCCTAGAGATCTTGGGCAGGGACCCGGTGAAAGACTGGTGTTGGTCACACAGGATGAGGGTCTGGACCGCTGGTACCTAGGCATGACCAGGATCCCAGTCCCCAAAGCTGCAGAAGCCTTGGGCATCCAGTTCGCACAGGCACTTTAACCTCCACTGGACCTGACGCTCACTAGCCCATGAGCTGAGCAGGGTGGCAGATCTTATTCCCACCTTTAGGGGGAGGAATCAGGCTTGGAGAAACGAGGGCTGCGGAGTGACTGCTCATTTTAAGCAGCCACAAAGTGTGTGAAGGGAGCAGCTGGGAACAGAGTCTGGGGCTCCAGTCTCCCCTCAGGCCCCTACTCCATGCACACACCACTCCTTGATCCGTGGGGTCCATGGATCAAGCCACCTTCATCTCAGCATCTACTTGGAGAACAATAGATTTGACTGTATTTGGTCCAGGTGCTGAAGAGTGACTGCAGCTAAGGGTCACTCAGAGAAAACCCCAATGTCTTGTGTAAGGCCTTTATCACAGCCCATTCACATCACTGGCAATTTCCTGAAGTGTCAGACTGACAAATAGAATACTATTTTCCATTTTCAAACTACTAAAAGGCTGTTCAATATAAGGAATGGGATAGGGACAAGTCTATGTTTTACTCTCCTCAATTTTCCATTATGGGAAAAAAATCCCTTTCTCGCCTTCTGTCTTTACAGCGGAGTAATCGCCTATGTAGTGATGATTTTCTAAAATCAAAATTGCCGTCGAAGTTCTCTTCAAGTACAGTGTGCAGGGGTTTATATTATACTATTTGTCTTTCATAAATGGTTAGCTTATCTTTTGGGAACAGTTATATAAAAAACATGCTTTGGTGGTTGTTATGTTGTTTTACAAGCGCACAGAGTTGATTATGCAAAATTTAAAGGCACACGGATGCCACACGCTTAATTTATCCTGAATTCCCAGCAAGTGCAACTCCTCCTCAGGGCTTTTTTCCATACCTTGGCCCCTGGGGACAGCTGGCTCTTGCCTTCTGAATTCTGAGGCGAGCTGATTTTGTGGATCTTGGGGGACACCAGTGGCACCGAGACTGGCGTGGTGGCGGCTGTGGAGCTGTTGGTGGTGGTTGTGGTGGACACGCCTACTGCCTCGGCCAGGTCTGGAGGGAGGTCGTCTTCATCACTGCGGTTACTAAAAGCACATGAAGCTCTGCTCATTACAACAATAAACAGGCTGTGGGGAGTGGCGGGACGGAGGACAGAAGAGGGACAGTCAGGGTGGGGGTCAGGAGACCCCCAAACAGACATCTACCAGAGGTCCCGCTTATAAGATCCAATACATGGGCATTTTTGCCAAAACAGATTTGGGCTGGATTTTCTGTCACTTGCCAAGGGATTAAAGAAGAAATTTTTAATGGAAAGATATATATATTTATTATTTATCTATTTGTAAGTGTACAATTCAGTGGCGTTAAATATATTCACGATGTTGTGCAATAATAACCGCTATCTATGCCCCCAATTTTTTCGTCACCTGCGACAGTAACTCTGTACGCACCGAAATACAGTGCCTCTCCCCTAGGAATATCTGCTCTGCTTTCTGCCTGGATGAATCTGACTCGTATAAGTGAAATCACACAACATATGTCCTTCTGGATGTGACTTTTTTTACTTACCATAATGTTTTCAAGGTCCACTCATGTCGTAGCATATATCAAAATTTCATTCTTTCTGTGGCTGAATAATAAATCATCGTATAGATAGACAATATTTTGTTTATTCACTCATCTGTTGATGGACATTTGGGGTGTTTCCACCTTTTGGCTATTGTGGATAGTGCTGCTGTGAACATGGGTGTGCAAATATCTGTTAAAGTCTCTGCTTTCAATTCTTTCATATTGAAATTCCACTTAGGAACGGAATTGCTGGGTCATATGGTAGATCTATGTTTAACTTTTTGAGGAACCACCAAACAAAGAAATATTATTTTAAGTGGCTTCTCTTAGGAGTGTAAAGGCAAGGCTCATAGGAATCCACTGCTCTGAGCCAAGGATGCAATGGCCCCTTTTGTGGCCTAGGAGCAACTGTTCTTTCAGTGTGACAAACTGGTTACTGGTTAGGCGAGGAGTTGGGTGCATTTGTTTGGGGGGCCACTAGCTCTGATATACAAACCTCTCTGATGGAATGGGATGATGCAGGCAGAAAAGGATACTAGAAGGAAGTAGCCATGAGGGAGGAGAAGTCTGGCTTGGTGCCCTGGGCTCATCTCCAGGACGTGCATTTGTGGGGAAGGTTGGACCTCCCCACAAGGGATGTCAAGGCTGGAAGCCCTTTCGATCTGATCATCCTGGCACAGGACTGGAACGGTACCATCAATCCCCATTGGCAGTATTTTCTTAAACTTAATAGAAATCAAGACAAGTGCCCTAGGCTCTAATGCCAACCAGGTTGTTGTCTGAGCAAATGGCTAACTCGGCAGGCCTGGGGTGCTCAAACCCTGCACATTCCAAAGGAACCACTGGTCACTGACAAGCTCCTGGGAGAGCCTTTGGGCCCTGGGAATATCCGGTCTGATTAGAGTGTCTTTGCATACCTGAGACCTGGGGCCATGCCAGATAATTTATGCTGTCAACGTGATTTATGGTGAACACTGATTTTTGTGTGTACAGCTGGGGTTTTAGGTCATATTGTATCAGTTTGACTTCTGGAGGGCTGAAGACTGAGTAGCTAAGTTTGGTCACATAGGTGTTCCATGCCTACGTGACTGATCCCCAATAAAAACCTTGACGCCAAGTCTCAGGTGAGCTTACCTGGTTGGCAACACTTCACATATGTTGTTACACATTGTTGCTGGGAGAATCGAGCACTGCTCATGTGACTCCTCTAGGAGAGAACAACTGGCAGCTTGTGCCTGGGCTTTCTGGGCTCCACTCTACGTGCCTTCTTCCTTTGCTGATTTAATCTGTATCCCTCACTCTACCAAACCGTAACTGTGAGTGGAACAGCTTTCCCGAATTCTGTGAGTCCTCTAGTGAATCATCAAACTCGACGGTAGTCTCGGGGACCCTGACACAGTTCCCCTAAAGGTCCTCCATGTGGAACTTCTGGAGCCATCCCGGCAAAGGAGTTGTGTTTTAGAAATGATGGCTGAGCAAAAGAGTGTAGATAAAAGATCCATGACCAGTGGACACCAGTATGACCCGTCCCTAATGAGGGCCTCACCATGGCAGTGGGCCTCATGGAAAACATGGGGCCATGGGACACAGCTGCAGTGTGAATGGGACTGACTGGGGAGGGACTTAGGGGATTTGAGATCATTCTGTGGCTGGAAAAGCCTCAAGAGGAAGATGTAGGACTTATTAAAGGGGGAAAGTGGAAAAATTAATAAGACGCCATGAATTTGGAGCCATGCTGATGAAGTCAGGTTAGTTACATCAGCCCATTTAATTTCCATGACAACCCAGTATTTTGATCTCCATTTTGAGAGAAGCAGATGATATTCAGAGGCCGACTGTGAAATTACTTGCTCAAGGTGACATAGCTAGTTAAGTGGAAGAGTAGGATTAAAATTTCTTTTTTACTTTATTAAAAAAGAATGTACCTGAAAAGCATAGTTATAATTTAGTTTTACATAAAAGGCCGTTTAAAAAAACATAGCTCGTCACTCATAGCAAGAAGTCAACTGATACTGTCTAAAACTGAAAAAGACTCCAAATTCTTAATGTTTTTTAAATCACCTTTTGCCTTAGATCGTATGACAAAGAAACATGTATCTAAAGTTCATTAAGTCTTTCAGTTTTACCTCTGAAGTAAATTCATGTAAAATTCATGAGATAACACTTTCACAAGTAAAATTTAATGTGCAGCCTGATTATTTTCTTCAAATTGATTTTTATTTTAATACATATGCATCAAAAAGTGTCTAAAGTAACAGCCATCGAATGGGGACATTGCTTCTTTTTGATGGTGCGATTCTAGGAAATTGGTTACTCCTCTCTTTGCACTTTCCTGTCTTGCTTGAATTTTTTTAGACTTTCATAATATGTTTAAATAAAGAGCGGAGTTATATTTCTGGAAAAAAATAAAGCAACTCCTCATTTTCTAAACATATTAGGTTTGAAAAGAGTTTCCTTAAAGGAGGTAATTTGGTGAGTTGGTTAAATTTTCTTTACTTCCAGACCATGCGGCAATCATTGTTTCCAACAGGATCACAGCCCAAATGGGTGACACTAATATTTTGAGTTTCAAAATGTAAAAGGAAAGGCTAACCCTGCCAGCTTTATCCTCGGGAGAGCAGATTTTTCTTGGTTTAATTTGGCCCCCAGAGATAATTAGGACTGTTAATTATTTGAATCTTACTTTTTTGGCTTTCCTAGGAGATACGGCTGCTATACTATCCAGAAGTTTCCACTAAGGCTAATGAAGTGGGATGTATCAGCCCTTAAAAAAACCCTGCTTCTTCTCCTTTTCACAAGTTCAAGTGGCAGACTTGATGGCATCTGGAGTGACGCTCCCTCTCCTACACTTGGCACTCTGGGTGCCCTTAGACTTGACCTTTTCTCAGAAGCTTTCAGATCTTTAAGAAGGGAAGGGGAACTACTTCATTCTATAGCCAGGTCACTTGCTGGGGGCTTTATCCACATCAGCTCATGTTAACCCTCACAAAATTCCTCAGAGGTAAGTATTATCTCACCCATTTTATAGATAAAGAAAGAGAGGTTCAAAGACAAATTTCCTTAAAAGCTTCCAGCAGTAAACTAGCTAGGACTCTACCAAGGAGTCTTTCTAATTCCAGAGCTCTATGCTTTCCATTGCACCCAAAGATCCCCCTGCACCTCACTGACCAGTTACACAATCAGGCATGGTGTCACGGCCAAGGCCAAGAAATGGGAGCTGCCATTGCACTGCTAGCACTGCCATTGCAATAGATTAGCACTGCTACTATTACAAACATCACCACCATCTTTACTACAGCATTTACCTGTCTCCTTTAGATTACAATTATTTGCAATCTGTCTTTCCCTCTAATAAACGGTGAGTCCTCAGATGGGAACAGTCAAAATCATCTTGTTCCTCTCCCATGGTGCCTAGAACTGTCCTGTACACACAGTAGTTGGCCAAGGAACTTTTGTTAATCTGAGCAGAACTGGGCAGGCCTTCGCAGTTCTGGGACACTTTGGGAAATGGATCCTTCTATGGGTCTTGTATTGTTCAGTGATTAGCTTTGGCTCCGTTGACAGCCCATGTTACCATTTCATGTCCCTGTGGAATCCCCAACCCTTGAGGGTGGGCTGGCCCTAGTGACTTGCTTCTAATGAATAAGGATGGGATGTCATTTCGGTGATTAGGTTACAGAAGACCATGACTTTCGCCTTGCTAACACCGTCTCTGGCTCTTCTTGTGTGTTTTCTCTGACAGAGAAAGCGGAGAGGCCCCCATAACTTAGGAAATGAGGGAAGTAACCTCCAGCCAACAGCCAGCAAGGAACTGAGGCCCTTAGTCCAACTGCCCTCGAGGAACTGAATCCTGTCCCAAACCCCATGAATGAGTCTTCAGATGAGACTGCAGCCCTTGCCAACACCTTGAATGCAGCTTTGTGAAAAAGCTTGACACAGAAGACCCAGCTAAGCCATGCTTGGACTCCCAATCCACAGGAACCATGAGGTAATAAAGGCAGATTGTTTTAATTAAGCCACTAAGTTTTAGTAGTAATTTGTTCACAGCATTCAATAATAAATGTAGATGTCAAATACAGAGTGTTTTCAGGGAGAAAGGTCTAGCCTCATTATGACCTAAATTGGAGATAAACTATATTTTTAGGATGGCCGGCTGGGAATGATGTGAGGGGCTAAGAAGCATGCATAACTGAACGTTTAGCATCACCTTTGTTGTTATAATTGAAAAACTTGCAAAAAGAACTCACAAACTGTATTGTCTTGTTAACTTCCTCACTCGGGGAGGCTTGATTTCAGGCTTTTCCACTGCTGGTTGGGTCGTTTCCACACGAATAGGAATAGGACTTCTAGAGACATACCAAAAACAGAAGAACATGGTTGCTAGAGAAGAGGGGACAGGGGGATGGGCGAAAAGAGGTGGGGATTAAGAAGTACAAACTTCTGGTTATAAAATAAGTCACAGAATGTAATGTATGGCATAGGGAACAGAGTCAATGATATCGTAATAACCTTGCATAGTGACAGACGGTTATAGACCTATTCGACATTTATATACTTCATAAAATATACAAATGTCAAATCACAATACTGAAACTAATATAATATTGTATGTCAGCTATAAGTTTAAAATACATAAACAAAAACAAAAACAAACAACACCAAAGAAAATGTTTATAGCCTTGTTTTGGCTGTACGAGGACTTCTTTCTCAGTTAATTTATACCTGAATTAGTCAAGATAGCCATTTTTTCCTCCTTTCTTCTTTACTTGTTAAATATAATTTTTAAAATGCTATAGAAAATCCAAAAACCAAAAAAATCATAGGAAAGAAAATATAGCAAGCAGAAACTGAATAAAATTGGGATATCATGTAAAATTTCCCTGTCAAAAACACCCACCCCCAATATCAGAGTTTGATTCATAACCAGGTTTTGCTAGTAAAATGAGTAAAGAGAAACCTATGGATAACCCACTTTTATTTTCAAATAATTGGTAGCTATGTTATTTTAAACATATTCAGAATATATATATATATGTATATATATATATACAAAATAATATATGTGTGTATATATATATGTTTATATATATGTGTGTGTGTGTGTGTGTGTGTGTGTGTGTGTGTGTGTGTATACGTATATATATATA